CAGATGCTTTAGTAGTTTGAGTAGCCATTTTCTCTTTTGTGGATCACTTTAGAAAAAAAGTTTATTCAAGTTGAATTGGTAGTTTTCTTCATATTTTATTTTGCAAGAAAAAGGGTGTAGGGACAGTCTTCATTTAATGGAAAGGAAATGAATCTATTATCCATCTTATTAATTTATAATGGAATTTTAATTCTGTTCCTCTGTCTCAAAATAGACCAGAATGAAGAATTCATTGAAAACCGTAATTCCTTGAAATCAAATGAAAATCAAGAGAATTCATTTTTGATAGACTTTGTTAATTCCACACTTGAGAAATCAAAGGAAAGCCAAGTAACTACTGATGATCTTGAAGAGGAAGAGGAGAAAGCTGACCTGAGTATGAGTGAAGACGTAACAGTTGATCCACCACTATTGAAATCTCAGAGTCTCTTACTATCTACCAATGCAACTGAGTCTGCAAAGGTATTTATATAAAATCATACCTTTTATGCTACAGCTTAAAGCTCAACATACCACTTTTAAATATTGTGTCTTCCATGTGTTGTGCTTCTGAATTACCTGTGGAAAACGCAACTTTTAATAGTGGTATTATATTTTCAGGTGGTTCTTATTTAATTCAATAGAATTTTAACTTCAGGGAATGTTTGCAGTGAATATAATAAAACCCAATGCCTCATTAAAAATTATCAGAAGTATGTGATCATAATATACTTTTAAATATTTCAGAAATACATACCCATATGTGGATAGGTTTCTATAGGGCTTTATGTTTTTAAAATGCAGCCATCTGGAACAATTTCTGAAGTTTTGAATTAGTACAAGCTATTCCTTTAGATATCACTTTGAACAATTTACAAGTTTTAATGAAAATCTTTAAGAAATGTTTAATATCCACGCTTGTTAAAATTGATGCACAGGGCCATTATGAGAAACATTGTTATTACAAGCTTGAGAACCAGATTTGCAGTGTTGTAGGATTACTTGTCCCTACGCTGTATGGCACCAGAGTACTATACTTTTAAATTTTATGGAGTAGCATTTTTAGTCTTCATTTCTCCTGAATTGAGTCTTTATCTCTTATAGTTGCAGTTAGCTCGTGGCTCTATGTATTTATTATTGGGGAAGATAACAGTGCTAGCTGAAAACTTCTGGTTGAACAGAACTCGTATAATACAGAGTATTAGCTTTTTATTAAAATTTATNCTACGCTGTATGGCACCAGAGTACTATACTTTTAAATTTTATGGAGTAGCATTTTTAGTCTTCATTTCTCCTGAATTGAGTCTTTATCTCTTATAGTTGCAGTTAGCTCGTGGCTCTATGTATTTATTATTGGGGAAGATAACAGTGCTAGCTGAAAACTTCTGGTTGAACAGAACTCGTATAATACAGAGTATTAGCTTTTTATTAAAATTTATGAAGACGGTTCATTAAGTCATGTTTTAGGCACATTGTCCTTCACTACTTTCCTTAAGAAAAAAACATTAATGCCAAGTTAGGGATGTGTTTACATCTGTGTTCTCATTTTAATGCTAGCAGCCTCCTGTCTGTGTAAAGTGCAAAAGTTATTCCTTAAAAAGGAAGAAGGGTATTCTGGAATTTTGTAGACAGGATCTTAGAAATGTCTAATAGAGGTAATTCTAGATGAGAACAAGCAATTGACATATAACAAGTAAGATCATACCATATTTCTCTTGACTGAATCCTCTCTGACCGAATCCTCTATTCTTACTCTCTACTGAGTGATCTTTTTAAGTCTGAATCAAATCATTCCCCTGCTGAGCTCTCTACCGGATTCTCACCGTGAGAATAAAGGCGAACTCCTTACCACTCTCTAACTACCTCACGTGATTCTTCTCTGACCACGAATCACTGACCACGTAGTCCTCTACTCTCCCTGCTGTTCACTGCACTTCAACATCATTCACCTTCTTTTGTTTCTCAAAATTCCCCTGTCGGGGTGACCAGTTAGCTCAGTTGGTTAGAGCATCATGCTAATAACATCAAGGTTCAATCCCTGCATGGGCCACAGTGAGCTGTGCCCTCCCTAAAATAATCAACTATGCCATTGTAGCATGAAAGCAATGTGTAACCAATGGCCATGGGTGTTCCCCAATAAAATTAAAAGAAGAAAAAAAATTCCCCTTTCAGGCTCTCCACTTACTGTTTCTTTCTCCCCATAGACCTTCAGGAGGCCCCTTTTCACTCATCATTGTTCTTGGCTCTGATGCCAAGCCCTCAGGGAGGCCTGATCCCTGATCCCCTTCACTAAAGGAGCCCCTCGTCTCCACTCTAGCCCCTATGTCACTGGACGCTAGTTTATCTCCTTCACGGTCAATTTGTTCATTGTCAGTCAACTGTCTCTTAAATGTACTATCCTTATCTGTGTTCAGTGACCACTGTACTTGACTGTAGGTGCTTAAGAAACATTGATTTACTGGCAATTTGACCTCTAAGCCTAACTATGATAGTTATGGTGAGTAATTCATCTATGGCTTTTTCTATTTAATAGAAAACAATTGAAGATAGAAATATGAAGAATAAAAAGTCAACAAATAATAGAGCATCCAGTGCCTCGGGCAGGTAATAAAGTTCTTATTAGCCCTCATTTATGGGTTTACGTTCCACAAAGCTAGTTTTAATGTAACTTTTGTAAAATAACTTGC